TTAAGTCCAAATTCTTCAACTGACCTTTACGAAGCCCCTCACTCGAAGAGAGTCCGTGTAGGTAAGACTTGATTTATGTGTAGTCTGCCTGTCATTTTTCAGTGTTTTCCCCCCAGCAACTGCTTCGACTAATCTAGTTTTTGTTTTTCTTTTTGTTTTGTTTTTGAGACAGGGTTTCTCTGTGTAGCCCTGGCCGTCTTGGAACTCCTGGTGGAGGGATTAAAGGCACGTGCCACCAATAGGGGAAAGGGGATAGATGGGACATAGTAGCTCCCGAGGACAAGAGGACAAGGTCAGTGAAAAAAAGAGCACCTAAGGGTCAACTGGGACAGATCCTGCAAGATAGAAAAGCAAGAGTGGCCTCAGTTCCAAATACAGATCTTAAACACATCTGAAAGCCCATCGAGATGGCTCAGCCGGCGAAGTCACCTGCTTCCAGGCTTGCTGGCCAGGACCCACAGGGGAAGAACGGACTCCCCCCCCCCAGTTATGCAAATCAGTACTGCGATACACACACACACACACACACACACACACACACACACAAATGCAACCAATGCATCAACTTTTTATTTAAAAACTAATTATGGGTAAAAAATCTAGTTGAAGGTGAATCGATGTCTCCCCGATTAAGAGCACAGGCTGCTGCTGGTTCAGCCAGCACAGGATTGAATCCCCTGCAGCCCACAGCGGCTCACAAGCATGTTTCACAGGATCCAACACCCCATCCTGACCTCCGTGGACCCAGGCACACTCGTGGCACAAATATATACATGCAGGCAAATCACTCATATACATTAATATAAAATTTAAAAATATTAAAAAAAAATAGCTCTCGTTTCTTGAACACACACTGCTGCTGTATCCGAGTGCTGGCTAACCAGGGTTGGGCAATATTTTCCAATGTTATATTTTAGAATTGAAAGACCCCACTATGCTTATTGCCTGTCTGAATTGCTCTTGCTAATTTGCCAAGGTCAAGTTATGGGAAAAGTACAGGAGGGAACCAGGTGCTGCTCTCATCCAAGGCCAACCAGATATCTGTGGTCTGCAGCTTGGACCAAAGCAAGGTCAGCAGGAACAGAAGGTCCTGGGAGCATTCTATCCAGACCACCAGAGTACTGAGATAGTCATAACTGAACTCTTTGTATTCTTTGTGCCCAACCCGAATAAGCAACTGTCATTGGTTAACTACAACTGCTACATTTAGATGAAACAATGAAATCCCTGTAACCATGCTTCTGCTTCTGTAAGCCTGCTTCTTGCCACCCCAACCCTATATAAACTGCCTGAGTTTTAACCTCAGCACGCTCAGTCCCCCGAAAGACTGAAGCGTCCACAGGTACCTGTGTAAACAATAAACAACCTCTTGCACTTGCATCCAGTGATCTGGTCTCATCTCTGGGGGGTATGGGCCTTCCCCCCTGATAGGCTCCAAACTCTTGGGGTCTCTTGGGGGGTCTTTTAGAATGATTCCGTATTTGATAATAGGAATCGTAAAGCAAGAGTGGAAGGACAACAAAGAACCGCCTCAGGGGCCGGCTGGATCCATGATGCGGAAGCTCCGGAACCATGCTTTCCGGCGAGACTCCGCATGCGCAGCTGGGGCAGGGAGGGGGCACCCGCGCCCGTCACATGACCGGCGCTGCGGCGTTTGTGGCCCAATCCAGTTTAGAAAGGCGCCAGCCCTGGTGACAGGATTCAGGCTGTCTATCCTGTCCGGGTCGGCGTGTCCCTCCTCTCCCGTTAGCCCCCGGGGCAACCCCGTCTGGCTTAGAGGCGCCTGGGCCTGGCAGGTGCATCCGCCCTGGGCGAGCAGTGATGGCACAGCCGTGTTCGTTCGCTGGCTCGGTAACGAGTGCGCGGCTGGATCCGGTCGGCGAGAGATCCCACAGCGACTGCAGAGATCCGGTCGGCGAGAGATCCCACAGCGACTGCGGGGCGCTCTGCTGCAGCAGCGGCACCTAGAAAACGGAAAATAAATACCGGGGACCAGGGTTCCCAGGGGCTGCGTCAGAGGACTGACCCGTTCGAGCCTGTCAAGACCCTTAGCTGGTTTGCGGGGGATCGCGGAGACAGGAGTCTCCTTAAAGGTTGAATCTCATCCTGAGAGCTGGAGCCCCGAGTCTAACCCCAGCACTGCGGAAACGGAGGCTGGTGGATCTGAGTTCAAGGCCAGCATGGTCTGCAAAGCGAGTTCGAGGGCGGCTATGGCTGTTACACAGAGAAACCCTGTCTCAAAAAACAAAACAAAATCCACCAACTTTTAATTTAAAAAAAAAAAATTCTCATTGTCAGTCCTCTCCAGAAACTTTTACTAGTCTACAAACAATCCTCAGCGCTGCAAAGATAGGTTTAACTCAATATTCTCAGAAAAGGAAGGCGGGCAGGCAGGGTGGAAAAGCTCTATAACCCCCTGCATCAACTAGCTGTGGGTCTGCAGGTTGGGCGGTGTCCAGCTCTTCAGTATTAGTTGCTCATGGTGAAGCAGAACTATTTGAAGCCCGCCTATGCTAGACTGGATCCTGCCTCAAAACTAAACTATCAATTTTTCCAATGGTTCTGACTGCTCTTTCCATGAACCCCCCCCCCCCCCGTGCTGCCAAAGATAGCTAAGCACATAGCCTAATATAAAATCCCAAACTTAAAACACAAGGTTGTTTTTGCTTTAAAACAAGAAACTTGATTTCATATTTTCAAGTGTGAACGTCGTAAAAGCCAGCATCGTTGATATCAAACGGTTGGATGCCTGTCCTTTTCTCTGGGTGAAGAACCCAAACCGCCTTCTTTAAGCTATGTGGCTGTGGAGTGAGCCTATCCAGGCCAAAGTCACGGGCAACGTGGTAGGAAGAGATCATGGCTTCTCTTAGAGTCTAAGTATTTAATACAGCAATCGGAGAAAGCAGGCAACACCGTAAAGCTGAACAGTAGGACTTCACCAGAGCTGAGAGCCTGTTTGGCGGCCTATGTCAGCCATTAGAGTAAATGGGGCCAAAGTTTCCTAAGTAGCCAAATCCAAATGATGCCTCCAAGAGGGGGAGGGACATTATTCCTGAAATTAATTGAAATACATACCGGCCTTTGAGTCTTTCTTAATCGGGGTTACTCTAGGGTCTTACCAGGAACAGACTTGTACAAAATGAAAGTATTTTAGGAGCCAGAGCAGTTCAGAGCACTTGTTTCTTCTGCAAAAGACTGGGTCAGTTACCAGCTCACATAACCTGTAGGATTAGTTCCAAGGGATCTGAAGGCTCACCCACATATGCATGAATTAGACATCAATCAATAAATCTTTTTACTTCTTACCAGGGCTGGGCATAAAAGCAGGAACCTTTACTGAAGCACGTGAAAGTCAGAAGCAAGTGGATCCATGAGTTCTAGACCAGCCAGGATACAGTGAGATCCTGTCTCTAGCAGAAATAAGTGTATTTTACCAGCATATTAGTCATTTTAAAGATTCTCCTGAAATAAAAGCACACCTTGCAATTTCCATTTTGTGACATGATCTGTTTTCCTTTAAGTTAGGCTAGCCAATAGAACAGAAACTCAAGTAGCTGGCCAGCCACCCAGGGTCCTCAGGCTTATTAGAATATGGACAGGAATGCTGTAGTAAGGATGCAATTTAGGGATAGCTGCAGAATATCACTAAATCTATTGATGGAAACAGAAATCTCCAGTACTAGATAAAAATGTAATTTAAAACCTCTTATCAACAGAACAGGGAATAAACAGTCTTAAGAATGTTCTTAGTAAGATATTCCCCCACAGCCCCTCCCCACCCCCAGACAGGGTTTCTCTGTGTAGCCCTGGCTGTCCTGGAATTCAGTAGATCAAGCTGGCCTCAAACTCAGAGATCCACTTTTTTTTTTTTTTTGTCAAGGCCTGCCTGGTTGGTATAAGAGAGTTACAGTACAGCTAGGTCTCTGTTACACAGAAAAGCCCTGTCTCAATAAAAAAGTTCTGAATCACAACCACTCACTAAATTGATTCATTATTTAATAATTTTACCCAAAACTTCTATGACTCTATCATTTTCCATAAAGGAAGCAATGTTTGTTTTTGGACAGTCTTGTCTAGGCCTAGGCTGGCCTTAAATGTGGCAATTCTATTCCAGCCTAGGCTTCCTAAATGCTGGGATTACAGGCATGAGGCACACACCAAGCTGTCAATGTCATAAAGACAAAGCCAGCATCTGTAGTGCCTTGAATTTGAGAATTTGGGAGTGAGACACACACAAATTTCAAGTTCAGGGCCAGCCTGGTCTACTTAGAGTCTCCTCCTCTCAAAAAGACAAAACCACAAATTTCAGTTACCTGCAGTTAAAAATACTTCAGTATTTTCCATCTCTCCAAAGGCAGAATTCAATAATTAAAACTCTCAATGTGTAACCATAATCATGAAAACATTACTTAGCATTATACTTATATCTAACTTGACAAAGTACATTCCAGAATCATCCACAAACAAAACATATTAAAGATTACTTAGGGGAAACCCAAAACTAGGGATAAAAAAAAAAAAAAAAAAAAAAAAAACCTATATAGGAATTAAGATACTATGGAAAAAATGCTTGGGCTTATTCTAGGAGGAAGCCCATACCTATACCATAATTCTGTGAGCATTTTTATAAATACCTGCTCACCTACAGGCAATAAACTTCTGACTCAACCTGCAATTCAAAAGGTAAATTTGAGCTAATCCAGGATCTTTTTTTTAGCATCTGGAAAGATTGAGGGAGATGGGGTTTTTTGTTTGTTTTTCAAGACAGGGTTTCTGTGTAGCCCTGGCTGTCCTGGAACTCTGTAGACCAGGCTGGCCTTGAACTCGCAGATCCACCTGCCTCTGCCCGAGTGCTGGGATCAAGGGTGTGCGCCACCACTGCCCTAGTGGTACTGCCACAACTAAGTCTTCGTAAGCATCAATCCACTTGTTTTTAGAGACCTCTGAAACAATGGATGGTATTACTCAAGAGCGAACAGCAAACACTGAAAGTAGTCATCATTAACAACTCTTCGATTTATTCAAAGCAATTCAGTTTCAAAACTTAAGTTACAGCATTCGGAAGAAAAACCGGAAATAGGAACACAATCAGTATTGCCTGTCCTTGTGTTTAACACTGTGGTGGCTTTATTCAAAATACAGTTGCACAAAAGTATTCAGAGTCTCTAAGGACTTAACATACCGCGTATGTACAGTACAGGGAGTAGTAAAACAGAACCCAGAACCTGCACAGAATAGAAAGCCCACCCTTGCTTATTTGCATGAAAATATCACCCACAAAGATAAATAAGTCTTAATAGTTATCTGGGGGACCTATTTGTTGTTTTTAAACCCAAAAACTCTAATTTTGATTGCATAATAGATGATTGATTAAAAAAAAGTCAATATATAGATTTCCCTTTGAAAAATAAGCATTTACTTTGAGCCTGGCATAGTGTGCCAAGAGAATTCTTGGGGACTGAAAACAGGCATTCCAATTATTGAAATGAAGAAAATGTTAGTTCTTTCAGAGATCCCAGTACCCACACTGAATATATCACACAGTTATTTCAGTCACATATGTAACTTTGTTAGCTTCTCTGCAAATAATTTCATACTTGTTATTTTAAAACACCATGTTAAACATCTTCAAAAAAGTAACAGTCCTACTATTATGAACAATTTCTGTGTCCCAGCAGAGGCAGAACTTCAGTTAATTTGCTGATACTAACATTTAAAAAAAAAAAAAAAAAAAAAAAAACTTAGCTTTACAAAAGGAAAAAAATTAGTAGCCAAGATTTAAAAAGAAATTTCCTGGAACATGGAGCCTCTGGGACAAAAGGAACCTGTCTCCTCATGTTTATTTAGTAGCCATGAAGAAGCACATAGGCTTACCCCAAATGTTTTTCTGTTGTTAATAGATATCCACCTGAAATAAACCCCAACTTCAATATTGATTTTCAAACAGTTCTCCAACTGCTATTATATGCCAATCAAATACTATATTTGATCACGATTTTCAAACTATAGAAAGAATAATTAAAGGTTCCACTCAGAAATATAATAAATACTTCACAGCGTTGATATCCAATCACCTAGAAAAACAACAACTTAATAATAGACTTGAACATAGTGATCAGTCTGGCCTGAGGAAGAAGGTACTGCTTTAGCCTAACACAGCCTCATGTGTTATCAAAGTAAGTGACGCCTGTCTCCTAACACTCCTCATGCTCATCACTGCATCTCAACTAATGCGCCAGCAAGCCCACGTCACTTGTTTGAAACCCAGAGAGATGGCCAGTGTCCTGGGTATCCACACCTTTTCCAGCTTTCTTTTGGATGTGGAGAGGAATGGAGCAATGGAAGGTGCTGATAGAGAAACAGCTGAGGGAGAATGCACACCTGAAAACCAGCAACACGCTGGCACAGCACCACCCACAGAAAGGGCTGACTCTGAAGCCTTGAGCTGTGTCACTAAAGACAACCTGAGTCCACCGCCCACGCTACTGAAAAGAACCCTCTCACTCGCCTGTACTTTCCAAACTGTGAGGACAGTCCTCAAACACCACCCCAGCACCCAAAACTGCCTTCAAGCTATTGACACCCGTATCACCTCTAAAAACAAAAATCAATCAGCTTTGTCATTCAAGAGACTAATGCCGTTTCATATTACAGCTGAGTATAACTTGTTAATTCATAAATAACTTTAAAACATTATGAATGAAATGCACCAAACTACACCCGGTAAAAGCAACCATGTTTTAATTATGGGCTAAAAATGTCTAATACATTAAGCATGAATTACAAAAATCCAGAATCTAAATACAGTGCTAGAGAATGTCACAATGGGAAGATGAATGAAAATTCTTTTCTACGTACATTATGATTAACACACTAGCAAATCTTAATCGGAATGATAAGGCCAAGACAGTAAAACCATACTTTTCCTATAAAAAGTTACACATCATCTCCTACAGGGACAGCTATCATACATGAAGAAACAAAGACATAAGGTCACTCTACTGCACGCCCAGGAGCGTGGGCAACCTCATCCTGGAAGGATCTAGTCATCGTCTTCCTCTCCATCATCTTCAGCATCTCGCTTCCTTTTCTCTCCCCGAAGACCCTCTTCCTCTATAATGGAAGTACATAAGACACTTAATTTTAACAAATTAATTTAAGTTACAAAGCTTTTAATCTTAGTAAAATATGAATAGCAAGAGAAAATCATATTGTTTCCACTCTGGAATTTCTTTCAATTTCAGAGTATAAGCAGACTCAAGAGAGCCCAACACCTCATGGACAAGTCACAACACAGGTCAAGAAACTAAGTGCTTGACATCAATGTCATTCTTTTTAATTTTTTTAAAAGACTAATTTATTTATTATGCATACAATGTTTGCCTGTACACCAGAAGAGGGTACCAAATCTCATGATAGATGGTTGTGAGCCACCATGTGGTTGCTGGGAATTGAACTCAGGACCTCTGAAGAGTAACCAGTGCTCTTAACCTCTGAGCCATCTCTCCAGCCCTGTGATTCTTAAGGTAAACATCATTTTCAAGAAATAGGTAAAGAGAAAACTAAAGGGACACCTGGGTTCTGCCATTCCTCTCTGGACTGAGGCTCAACTCTCTAAAAAATGAGATTTGAGAGTGCAATAAAGTGAACACAAGCTTTTACTTGATTTCTGGGGTTTCTGTTTGCTTGTCTTTGATTTTCTGTGTAGCCCTGGCTGTCTTGGAACTCCCCCTGTAGATCTGGCTGTCCTCAAACTGAGATCCGCTTGCCTCTGCCTCCCCATTACTGGGACTAAAGGTGTGCGCCACCATGCCTGGCTTTCACTTCTGTTTCTTAAACACAAGTTACAAGCTGGCTTTTGTTTTGTTTTGTTTTTGAGACAGGGCTTCTCTGTGGCTTTGGAGGCTGTCCTGAAAATAGCTCTTGTAGACCAGGCTGGTCTCAAACTCACAGAGTACCGCCTGCCTCTGCCTCCCGAGTGGTGGGATTAAAGGCGTGTACCACCAATGGCAGGCTGGCTCTTTTGTTTTGGTGGAATGAATGTACTCTTTCAAAACACTTCTGTTTCTCAATGCATGTTACGATAAACAACAAAAGCAAAGGAACCAAGGGTAATCCCCATTACACTCAGTCCTCGACACCCCTCCCCACATGTTATCTTCAGGTGCAGAACTGGTTGATGCTGATGTCACTTACCCTCTTCTTCCTCTTCCTCCCCTTCATCAACATAATCGTCATCGTCTTCTTCATCCTTCAAATTCAAATATTCAGTGTGAGAACAAATAAACCATGACTCAGATTTTTACTGTTTAACAAATCCCAACAAGAAATCATAGTTCAGCTGGGTTCTGCCTGCTTTGCTTTTGAACCTAACAAAGCATCTAGATTTTTATAAGCATAGGCTATTAAAGAGAACTTTCTCCAACAGTGCAAATGCTCTCTGTGCTGTGCCATGCTGTGCAGTACTGAAGCCACCAAGGGCTAGTGAGCACTCAGATCATAGCAGCACAAATGTGGGAGATGCATTTGAGTTTAATTTTAATTACTTGTTTGCTTGAGACAGGGTCTCATTATACAGCCATTATACATTATACAATATACATTATATAACCTCTTACTTAGCAATAGTAGTGGTTTCACCTGGAGTTTGGGGATTACAGGCACACAGCACTTTGTCCAGATTGTCTTTAAATAGCCACCCTTGCCCACCATGACAGAAGGAGGTCTTTACTATTGTAAAAACAAGTTACGCACAGATTATCTGAACCCTAACACCAAATACAACAGTTACATGTTGAGTAAATAAATTATTTCTCTAGACCTTAGTTTTCCAATCAATAAAGATGAACCAGAAATCTGAAATCCAGAATGTCCCAAACTTTGGAAATTTTTGACTATCAACCCAACGGAAAATGTCAGCTAACGTCATCTGCCCCTTCCGTCAAACTACAAGTATATTAAGGACACTATATAATACCAGGTACAGTGGTGCACGCCTTTGAGGCAGAGGCAGGAGCATCTCTGTGAGTTAAGACAGCCTGGTCTACAGAGCAAGTTCCAGGCCAGCCTGAGATTACAGACAACATGGCCATCATAACAATGAGGCCACCCTGTGTGTGTGTGCAATCACGCTTACACCTACACATTCGCATGTGTGGATTCATATGGACACAGCTATGAGGCTAGAGGATAAGCCCTGGTCCTGCTCCTTAGAGTTACTATCCACCCTTTTGGTGATGGGGCCCTCACTGGCCTAGACCTGCCATGTGGCCTATACTGACCCAGAGACTCACCTATTGCCATTTCTTTGAAGCTAGGATTACAATCACATACCACCACAACAGCTTTATTGCTTGGTTTTAGTTTCTAGAGATGCGGTTTCTCTGTGTAGCACTCTGAGTATAGGCATGCACTCGAGTCCTTGTACTTAAAAGGTAAGCACTTCAGCAACCTTGTAAAAATGTACTGTTATGTGTGCTCTTGTGTGGGGACATGCCATACAACATGTGTGGAGGTCAAAGACAACTTGGTGTAGCCAGTCCTCTCCTTCCACCTCTCCAGGTGCCAGTGATTGAATCTGGGCACCAGGCTTGTACAGAAAGTGCTTCTATCAGTTAAGTCATCACTGGCCCATTTTCTCTTTTTCTAGTTTTGTTTTTCTTTTTGGTTTTTTGAGACTGGGTTTCTCTTGTATGTATGTTTTCTAGCCTGTCCTAGCACTCACTCTGTAGACCAGGCTGGCCTCGAACTCACAGAGATCCACCTGCCTCTGCCTCCGAGTTCTGGGTTTAAAAGTGTGCACCACCAACACCTGGCTTCTTTTTCTAGTTTTTACACCCTCTTTTTAGCATCAGTTACTCTTTCAATTTTATTCTGCCATAGACTCAGAACAGGGCACCAGAAGTGAATATGCAAGAGACAGCAGATTAATTCCAACGTTAAATACTCACCTACACAAACAGGGCTGCCACTTTCACTACTTATACTGTGACTGCTGGAGTGTGGTAGAATATTATTTTAAGGTATGTGACTTCTTTACGCTGCATTTGTTTAACTGGGTGAAGCTGTTATTCGTTGTCTAAAACATCTGACAGTCTAATAAAGAGCTGAACAGCCAATAGAGATGCAGAAAGGAAAGAAGGGTAGGCAGGGCTGGCAGGCAGAGAGGACAAACAGGAGAAACGAGGAGGAAAAAGAAGCAGCAAGAGAACAAGAGGATGTCAGGGGCCAGCCACCCAGCCACCCAGCCACCCAGCCACCCAGCCACAGAGTAAGAAGGAAAGTTATGTAGAAGATTAAAAAAAAAGACTTTCGGTTGTGAGCCATCTCTCCAGTCCCAGTGGTGGTGGCGCACCACTTCAATCCCAGCACTCAGGACTCAGAGACAGGCAGATTTCTGTGAGTTTGAGACAGGCCTGGTTTATCTACAAAGCAAGTTCCAGGACAGTCAGAGCTGTTACACAGAGAAACACTGTCTTTAAAAAACAACACGAACACCTCCCCAAAAAATAAAAGCCCAGAGGGAAAAGGTAGACTGGATAATTGAAGAATAAGAAAAGCTGGCTAACAATAAGCCAAGCTAAGGCTGGGCATTCATAAGTATGTTGATTTATTTGGGAGTGGTGGGCCCTCAAAAGGGTAAGAAAGATAAAAAACAAACCATAGCACTGCAGCCGTCTGCACTTACTGCTTTGAGCTTGGCTATGCTACAAACATCTAAGCACCATAGATTTGGTACTACTATCTATCCAAGTCTGTCCTTCTTAGCACCACACAAGTTTACTACTCAAGTATACTCTATCAAGCAATGTATAGCGGTGTGGTACATGTAGCTGTGTAGGTAGGACGACTGTAAGTAAGTTCAAGGCCAGCCTGGGCTACATCACAAGACTGTCTCAAAAATATTTGATGAGCTGCGGAGATGGCTGCACATTAAGACCTGAGCTCAGATTCCCAACCACCACACAAAATGCCAGCATTCTTGGCACAGGGGAAGCAGAAACAGGAAGATCCCTGGGACTTGCTGGTCAGCCACTCTGGTTCTAAGTTCAGCACAAAATGTAAGTAAGTAGTAAATGCTTAGTGATTGCTAGGCTGGTAAGGGTAGCATGCCTTTAATCCCAGCACTTGGGAGGCAGAGGCAGAGGGATCTCTGTGAGTTCAAGGATATAGTCCAGTCTACATAGTGAATTCTAGGACAGCCACATCTATAGAAAGAGACCCTGTCTCAAAAAAAAAAAAAAAGGGGGGGAGGGGCAGAGATTGGATCCTCAGAACTATCATAAAGCTGGGTGCAGCAATGCATACCTGTAGTCCTAACATTCCTACTGGCAAGATGAGAGATGTCAAAGAAAGAATACCTACAAGTTTGTGGACCAGCAAGCCTGGCAAACACAGGAGTAAACCTACTCTGTCTCAGACAAAAGCTGAGAAGCAGTCTTCTGATCTCTGCATACATGTCATGGCCCATACTCACACACATGAACACTCACAAAAACACACACACACTTACTTAAAAAATACAGACAGGCTGGAGAGATAGCTCAGAAGTTAAAAGCACTGGCTGTTCAATAACCAGCAACTACATGGTGGCTCACAACCATCAGCAATGAGATCTGGTGCCCTCCTCTAGCCTGCAGGCACACATGCAGGCAGAATACAGCATACATAATAAATAAACCTTTGTTTAGCTGTGCAGTGATGAGAGAACGCCTTTAATCCCAGCCCTCAGGAGGCAGGAAAGCAAGAGGATCTCTGTGAGTACGAGGCCAGTCTGGTCTACAGAGGAAGTTCCAGAACAGGCTCCAAAACAATACAGAGAAACCCTTTCTCAAAAAAAAAAAAAAAAAAAAAAAAAAAAAGAAAAGAAAAGCAAATAATAAATGATTGAATGAATGAATGAATGAACCAGGTGTGATGACATAAGCCTGTAATCCCAGTACTTATGAAGCTTTAGGCAGGAGGACCGTGAGTTCAAAGACAGCCTGAACTACACAGTAAGACCCCATCTTGAAAAGGGAAATTAACCACCTAGAGATGGCTCAATGCTAAATAGTGAGGATGACCTGGGTGCTGCTTCCAGCACTTACAGCGTGGTTCACACATATCTGTCACCATTCACACAGGTGGTACACAGACATATCTGTGAGCAAAATACCCACACATACATAATAAAAATAAATTTTAAGGAAAAAAATAAATTCATAATCAAATATTCCTTTTCCTTCTTATTTATGAGAACCAGCAGTCTCTGATGCTTACCTGGCACTTAGCTCCTAAAAACAAGAACTCTTAGGTTTGTTGGTTTGTTTGTTCCGAGACAGGTTCCTCTGTAGCCTAGGCCATCCTAGAGCACACTAGGTAACCTATCCTATCATTGAACTCCTGCAGTCCTACTACCACACCCTCTGCTGGGACCATGGTCAGGAGCCAACCCACACCTAGTTAAGCTAAGACTTCATTTTTGACACCCAAACTGTCTCATCCAGAATGAAAACGCTTCCTGGCCCTGCACAAACTTAATACTATGTTTATTTCAGAGATTTCTGATCTATGCTTGGCCATGTCATTTTGACTTAATATTCCCAAACATTCAGTACAATAATATACCTAAATGTAAGTCATCCCACTTGGTTGAAAATAACTTTTAAGGCAGAAGTGGTGAATGTGTGTGATCCCAGCACTCAGCAGGACTGCTACAAATTCAATAGCAGTATGGGATGCATGAGTCTAAAGCCAGCCTGGGGTGCAGAGTAAAATAATACCATCTCCACACACCCACACACTTCAAAATGTGATTTTTAGGGCTGGAGAGATGGCTCAGAGGTTAAGCGCACTGGCTGCTCTTCCAGAGGTCCTGAATTCAATTCCCAGCAACCACATGGTGGCTCACAACCATCTGTTGGCCTGCAAAGATGCATGCATGCAGCACATTGTATACATAATAAATTGTACATTCATTTCAAATTTAAAAATAGTATCAGAAAAATAAGAACCACCCATCAAATATCATCTACCTAACCATCATTACCTAAGAAAAACTACAGATAATGATTCATGCTTTGGTGGCAAAAGGGACACATTACAGAATATCGAGAAGGCAAGTAATGACCTTATCTACATACTATAAAGGTACACCGTGGAGGACATCCCTAAACCAAGATGTCATTGAGATCCAGCCTGGGCTACACAACTCATTCCATGACAGCCTGGCTATACAAAGAAACCCTGTCTTGGAAGAAAAAAAAAAAAAAAAAAGAAAAGGAATAGGAATAGGAGGAGAAAAGCTACTACAAGATGCAAGAGTATTTAAAGCAAGACACAATTGGAAGGAAGACATTATTCCAGGGCTCTGCAGTATCTATAATGTGACAACTCAGACATTCACAAAATGTTTCCACTATCCCATGGCACCGGGGGCAGAATCAATTCAAAGGCCATCTGAGATAAACAGCAACAAACAACAGCAGTTCTTACGGAGCCACCATGACATTTGGCTGAGTCTGCCCATCTGAGGCCCAAGTCAGAAAGAGGCAACTTTGCGTTTTCTTTTGCTTTCTTTGGATGCTGGCCAGAACCAATTCTTTTTCTGATGACTGGGTTTCCAACTCCTTCTCAGAAGTCCCCTTCCCTGCCACTCCACGGCTTGTCCAATCTGTGTCTGACCTCAACACCAGCTGTAACACCACATTGGTTTTGTTTTTTTCTTCTCCCCTCCATTCTCCTCCAGGTAGCTGCTGAGATTTAACAGCTTGCCTACCCTGGGAGTTTTGTTTTATTTGTTTGTTTGTTTGTTTTAAATAAAACTGTCCTTGAGCTAAAAACCAACACCAACAAATGTTCATGGTTGTCTGGATACACTATGGAGCATCCTCCTACTGGACAGATGCTTACCCACAAGTTAGGAAACAACACGCAACTCCATTTACAATACTCAGCCTTGTACACAAATATCAAGTTTCCATTCACCTGAATTTCTTCTTTCATCAAGTATGAAAGGCCCACCTCCTCTTCTCCCTCTCCCACTTCTGAACCTGCTTCATCTTCATCCTCATCTTCATCCTCATCCTCCTCTTCATATCCTTCAGGTGGACCAGCTTCATCTTCTTCTTCATCTTCCTCATCTTCATCTCCATCTTTAAAATACATTTTAAAGGTGAGCAAATAGCCGGACAAACCAACCCTTCTCACTGGCATGCTGGCCCTCCTCACTCTTGCCCAATTAACTCCTCCCCCCCAAGACAACAGTTGAGGGTGCCCGAAGGTGTCCCCACTCCTTTCTTAAAGAAGCAAATTCTGGCTAGGCAATGGCGGCACAGGCCTTTAATCCCAGCACTTGGTAGGCAGAGGCAGAGGCAGGTAGATCTCTGAGTTCGAGGCCAGCCTGGTTCACAGAGGGAGTTCCAGGACAGGCTCCAAAGCTACAGAGAAACCCTGTCTCAAAGCAAAACAAAAAACATAAAGAAACAAACAAAAAACCCCAAGCCTTCCATTTTATGGCACTGTTACTTATCACCTGAGAAACAGTACCTTTGCTGGAGCTGGGGATACGGTTCAGCATGTACCTAGCATGTCTGACTCCACCCCCAGCCTGACAAAGGACAAGCAACTTCCCAAACACAGGCATTCACTAAAATAGATTTTCAAACATTATACACACTGTAGTTGGTTTCACTTTGTAGCCACCTAAAACTTGCTTGTTGCCAGGCATGGGGTGCACAACTTTAATCCCAGCACCCAGAAGCACAGGAGGTGGCTCTCCAGGCCAGCCTGGTCTACACAGTGAGCTCCAAAAAACAGCAAAAGCTGTCTCAAAAAGAAAAACAATTACCCTCCTCGTCCTCCTCTTCTGAGTCGGGTGCCTCATTGTCCTCCTGATCAAATCCATCTAAGTACGTGATTTGCTGCAGCAGTTCGAAGATGCTTTCTCTGTAATCCTCCAGGTTTGTGATCTCACAGTTAAACAAGTCAAGACTTTTCAAATTTTTAAGATTTTGCTGAAAAAGTAAAGTTAAAGGTTACAATCAAGATTTTAAACACCATGTTCTTCAATTTTAATGGAAGATCTGAAAAGCATATACTTGAAGTTAACGAATGTGGGTTTTTTTGGGGCACATTTTTAGTGTTTTGTAAGGGTCATTCTACCAAGCACAGCCAGCTCTCTTAAGTCACCACTGTGCCTCCAGCATGGAAGAACTCTGGTTGTCACTGCACCTCTAGCATCTGTCCTACAGCTTGTTTTTATAGACACCTGAGGCATCTTTGCTGACAGAATCTGTGCAGAACAGGCCAACTGCACACCAAGTGTGGTGGTACACACCCAAACCCAGCCAGGGTAGGAGGAGCAGAGCTAGAGATCAACCTAGGTTAACAAAGGCCACACATCTCAGAAGAAGAAAGGGCACACAACCTTAAACCAGCATCTAAGCTTGTTTCCAACAATCTAACCTCACGTCCTTTTCTTCTATTTTAAAGACGGGGTAGGGTCTCATTAAGTAGTAGTCCAAGCTGGTCTTGAACTCTCTCCATCACTTTAGCCTCCCGTGTACTAACATTATAGGGAAGTACCACCAACCACATCACACCCAACTGCTTCAAAAGCCTGAGAACAAGGGCTAGCCAAATGGTTCACCAGGTACCTCTGCCTGTTGCCACGCCTGACAACTTGAGTTCAATCCCTGGAACTCACAGGACTGGAGAAAACCGTTTCACACAAGTTACCCTCTCACACATCCACACACAAACACATAACACAGACAACTATAATGAAATAAAATGTAAGTCTGAGCATCCATCTTCAGTTTTGTAATACTTATCTTTTCCTTCTATCATCAGAAAATACCTTAGTACCTAAAAAATTACTATGTGTCCCTTTTTTAGAAGAAAAAAAAAATAGGTGTTTCAAAAGATATTTGACCAGAGTAAAGTCATTAAATAAATTTGTCTGGGGAGGGAAGTGGGAAAGGAAAGGAGAAGGAAGGGGGAACAGGATTAGAATGTAAAAAATAAATTAATTTAAAAAAAAGTAAATAAATTTGTCATTGATTCAAAAATTATCCAGATTTTTTAATCTTTTTTTTTTTTAACAATTTAATTATATTGAAAGGGAGTACAGGTGCATATGCCGTGTGTGTGTGTGTGTGTGTGTGTGTGTGTGTGTGTGTGTGTGTGTGTTTCTGTGTCAGAGACAACTTTTGGAAGTAGATTCTCTCCATGAACTATAGATACAAAGGTTGCAGGGGGTCGGCGCAGGTCTTCAAGTTTGGTGGTAAGTGCCTTTAAAAATGAGTGGCACTGAGGCCTTTATTTTATTTTTAGTTGTTTGTTTGAGACTATGTAGAGTTAGCTCTACACAGTCCTAGCTGTCCCGGAATTTATTATGTAGACCAGGTTGACCTTGAACTCACAAAGACCTGCCTCTGCCTCCCAAGTGCTGAGACTAAAGGAGTGCATCATCACCACACCTGACTTGAGGCTTTTATTTTATTTGGAACTCACTTTATTTGGAATTTACTTTATTGTCCTGGAACTCACTCTGTAGACCAGGCTGGCCTCGAACTAAAGGTGTGTGCCGCCAACGCCTTACTGAGGCCTTTATTTTTAAGAAAGGGCCTTACTGCAGCCCAGGTTCCACCTTGGTGTCCCTCCAAGCCCAGCTGGACATTTTAGTTTAAAAAAAAAAAGAAAGAAAGAAAAAACAGCTATCTGGATCACAAGAGGTATTTCAGAAAACTCCAGACTTAAACAGAGATCAATACAATAGAATATGAACAAACCTCAGATAAATTAACCCAAAATGAAGTCCAGAGACAATCATTCCACTCACCAGAGCCTCCACTGTACTGAGGTCTTTGATTTTGTTTCCACTCAGATTGAGGTAGGTAAGATTTGGGCATTTCTCTGCCAGGACTTCCAAGCCTCCAGATATTATATTGTCACTAAGTTCCAACTACAGATTCAACAAGGAGAGAAAAAAAGAACTTTTAAGAGCACACCAACTGAAGAAAAACATCTTTCATTCTGACTTCCTTGATTCCCATCTATCTGCAAAAGTGTCAGAACCCTACACAGTAGCTTATCTGTGGCTCCAGTGTGTTAATTTGGATTTTTTGATGAGGGGCAGTGGTAGATATTAAATCCAATTTAATTTAAATTTCTAAACAATACTGAAAATAATTCCAAAATCCTATAGTCCTTTTCTTTATTTGGGTGGGATTGTTTTTGTTTTGTTTTGTGGTTTTGTTTTTTAGAGCTAGTCTCTCTGCATCCTGGAACTCATGTGTAGACCAGGCTGGCTGCCTCTGCCTTCTGTGCACTGGGATAAAACACATGTGTCTCCACTGCCCAGCTCTTTTGTTTTTAAATTAATTAATTACTTTTATTTTATGTGCATTAGTATTTTGCCTGCATGTATGTCCTTGGGTTGATATTGGATCTCCTGGAACTGGAGTCACAACTTGGGACTGGAAATTGTGTTAGAAATTAAATCCAGGTCCTCTGGAAGAGCTCCTGACCACTAAACCATCTCTCTAGTCTCCTTCTCTTTTCTTATCTCTAGAAACTTAAAGATTTCTTTTTTGTTTTCTTTTGTTTTTGAGATAGAATTTCTCTGTATCGTTGGAGCCTGTCCTGGAACTCGTAGAAGAGGCTGGCCTGGAACTCACACAGGTCCTCCTGCCTCTGCCTCCCGAGCACTGGAACTAAAGGCGTGCGCCACCAATACCCAGCTTTGTTTTGTTTTTGAGACAGGGTTTCTCTGTGTAACAGCCCTAGTAGTCCTGGAACCAGCTCTGTAAACCAAGCTGGCCTCAAACTCAGAGAATCCTGAGTGCTGGGATTAAAGGTGTGCCACCACCCCCCACCCCCTAAAGATTTCTTGTTAACAGGTGAAATGGTTATTTCACTTGAACAAGAACTTATAAGCCTGAGTATAAAAACCTCAAACCACTCCCAACTCACCTTTCGAAGTTTGTTTAAGCTGGGAAGCCGGGCCAAGGAACTTAGTTCCACATTGGCCATACTAAGAAACTCCAGTTCTTTAAAGGTGTCATTCAGGCCTTCGATTTCCCCATTGACACACAAGCAATTATCAAGGACTAACTCTGTCACCTGTCAGAAGAAAAATATTAATAGTCAGTCTGCATAGCAATAGACCTGTGTCTGAGCACTCTAAACACACCAACCCAACACTGGGTGCACAGTATGAGGCTATAATCACAGCTACTTGGGAGTGAAGGGAGGTCACTTGAATCCTGGTGTCTGTAACCAGCTGGGAAACATAGCAGTAGTCTCAAAAAACAACCAGTCCCTTACATATCATTCCTCCTCACCCATGTTCCTGTAAGCAACCCTACTGTAACTCACTGAGTCATTGAAAAAATTTTCCAAAAATGACTTGAAGGCACTCTGAAGATCAGCTGGGAAGAAGGGGATCAGAGGGGGGAAGGAATAAGGAAGGGTAAGGAGTGACCCTGATCACACCATACTATATATGCATGTATATTAAAAGTATGAAGCAACCCTTTAAACTGAACGTGGACTAACAAGTGCAATCTTCAAATCAGAGGTGGAAAACCAACTGTGAAAAAGGTCCTACTAAAATGTGTGTGGACTCACTATCCGACCCACACCTCCACAGGGAGGGGTCCTGGGCTACAGTGGAAAACACAGCCAGCTGAGAGAAGAGTAACTGTTTATCACTTCTTCAGTGTAAGCCTCTGTATCTTAGGCTATAAATGCCCGTGGAATTCCAACCTTATTGCCCTGCAGGAAGGAATATTAGAAACCTTCTATAACAACCCACCTTTGGGGTCTCAAATGAAGACACTATTACACAAAAGAATATCCTTGACAAAATATCATTTCTCCTTGATATTCAAGCAGTTCGATGGACTTTCCCATTCCTGGAGAGAGACTAGATTTCCTTTTTTTTTTTTTTTTTTTTTTTTTTTTTGGGTTCGGGTTTTTTGTATCTGGTGTTTTTGCTTGCATGTACATCTGTGTGAATGCAATACCCATGGAAGCCAGAAAATGGGTGTTGGGTTCCTGGTGCTGGACTTACAGATAGTTCTGAGCTGCCATGTGGGTTATGGGATTCAAACCTGGTCCCCCAAAGACCAGCTAGTGTCCTTAATTCCTGAGCCACTATTCCTGTTCAGAACTGGAGTTCTTATTAGATCTGAGTTGTAGGCTTATTGCTTTTACTTTATGTGTACAGGTGTTTTTCCTTCATGTGTGTACCACACACACACCTGGTGCCTGAGGCCAGGACTGGGACTCCCTGGCAATTGGAAGCTACCATGTGAATTTGGGCAAGGACAAGTACTCTTAACTACTGAGTATCACTCCAACCCCAGATCCAAGACGTAACAAAACTCACCAGTGCACCCGAATAGACCTGGTTCTCTGTCCCCAGTACAAAAATGTTTACTTAAAGGCTAAAAATCAGGAACAACAAATGCTGTCTTCTCTACTTGAGTATAACTTTGGCAATCATTATTCCAATGAGCAGAAATGGAACCATAGCATCGCTTTTAGAGACCAGGAAGCCAAAGTCAAGAAAAAAATGACTTGCATTAATAGCTCATACCCTCAGTATAAGGTAGGGTGTCTTGATTCTTAATTTATTTTTATTTTTCATTTATTTATTTATTTTTGGTTTTGGGGTGTGTGTTTTTTTGTTTTGTTTTGTTTTTTTTTTTTTGTTTTGTTTTTTTTTTTTTTTTTTTTGGTTTTTCTGTGTAGCCCTGGCTATCCAGGAACTTACTCTGTAGACCAGGCTGGCCTGGAACTCAGAGATCAGCCTACCTCTGTCTGAAAGCCCTGGGATTAAAGGTGAACACTGCAACCAAAGTCATGTAAAACCACCATCAGGTTCATTTGTTTTTGAGATAGCATTTCATTATTTAGTCCTGAGTGACCAGGTACTTGCTTTGTAGATCGGATAGCTCTCATTAGAAACCCATCTGCCTCTGCCTCCTGAGTGTCAGGATTATGGGATTAAAGGTATGCACTATCACGCTAGCCACCTCTTAAACCTTTGGATTCCAAATCTTATCCAGGGCTAAGAGCTGGGCAAGAGGGCTTATAGATTCAGAGTCAGAACCCAGTTCTTCCCCCAGAATAAGCACTTCACTGCCTTGAGGCTCCTGTTTGCTAATTTGGATTCTAAAACAATACAACCCAGTTTACAAGTTTTCCAAAGGCGTAAGTAAATAAACAAGGCACTTTATAAACTGTCCATATAGCAGGCAGTGGTTGGTGGCCCACTTGGCAAGTGAATCTCTGAGTTCAAGGCCAGCCTGGTCTACAGAGTGAGTTCCAGAACAGCCAGAGTTACACAGGGAAACCCTGTCTTAAAACGCCAAAAGTATAAATAAAAATAAGCTGCCTATATAAACCTGTTACACCATGATACTGTCCAGCAATCCTCCAAATTGGAGGTAAAAGGATGCAGGGAAAGGCCCACATTTGCCCCTAAGGCTTCTGAGAAACTACCAGTTTTGATTTCTTTTGCCTTATTTGACAGGGTCCCAATTGCAGCCAACATCCTATCTCGGCCTCCAAAGGCTGGGAATTACAGCTATCAGTTACCATGTCCCGCTGACGGACAGTTTTTTAACTTTGAATTATTCCAGAATCTTCTAATACGCTCTAGAAAACTTCTAGTTCTCCCAGAGATAGCCCTCACAGCAACAATGTTTCCCTCCACCTCGCTCTCGGCTGAAGTCGGGAGAAAACTGCAAACCGGCCACAGAAAAGAACAGGGCTCAGGCACGGATAGCTCCGCAAGACAGCTGGGAAGGCCGGGCAGACCGGCGCCTTTGCTAGGGCGTCAAGGGACCACCGTTGCGCCGCTCCCTTGTCCCTCGTCTTCAAGCAGCCGGGAACCGGCGAGCCCCAGGCGCCGTCACCGCCCGCCGGGCCCATGAACCTGGCGGGAACCGCAAGGGAATCCGACGGCCGGGGGCTCGAAGGCGACACCTCCGGGGGCCCCTCCCAGCCCCCGGCTCTTCCCGACGACCGCACAGAGCACCGCGCGGCTCGCACGAGCCACGGGCTTGCGTAGAGGTCCGCGCGCCACGAGGATCGCGGCCGGCGCCGTCGAGCCCAGGGATTCCGCCGCCGCCCGGGCCCCGGCGCGCGCCGCCCGCGAGTGGGCACCGCCGCAGGGAGCGCAGGGTGCAGATCGGCCCGAGACCCACGCCCCGGGCCGCGGTCGGCCGAATGGCGGCACCGCGGGAAAGTTACACCAACTTCGCAGGTGGCGAAGGCCCGAGGGTCGCGCCCACGTCGCCCGCCCCCGCGAGGCCGGGCCGCCAGACTGCGGGGACGCCGAGGGGCTGAGCCCCCGCGCGCCCTCGAAAATGCCCCTAGAAACTTAAGCCCTTCGCCATTTTAAGCACAAGAGCCTGGTGGTTTAAAACTTAAAATAAACACCCCGCCCCCACCCTGAGTGGGGGCGCGTTTCCAGTCCGCCACGCGCACTCGCCCGGACCCCCGGAGCCCACCCCTCACCACACAGGGCGGGAGGGGAGGGTGGGGGCTGAGTCATCTCACCTCCTCCGGGGCTCTGTTCTTCAACTCCAGGTTAATCTTCTTCTTCATCTCCATGTCCTCCTCCTTTCCCCTCGCCTGCCCTCCCCACTACCCCCAACCCTAAAAAACCTCTAAAGGTCTGGAGATGAATGAAAAGAGACGCAGAGACGAACGCCCACTACCACCCGGGCGTGGGGGAGAAAGAAAAGAATAGCAAATGGAGTCCGACGACTTGGGACTAACTCGGCTGCCCCCACCTTCTAGTCCACACACCCGCGCGCGCACACACGGGCACGCACACACATTCACACACAGAGAGACACGCGCGCGCCCGCAGTTCCTTCCCCTTCAATGGCTGCTGCGAGACTGAGCCTCCATGACACGGCACCGCCAACCCCCTGGCCTACACCCCACCCACCGCCCGGCGGTATTGGCCGAGTCTTTAGCGTCGCACCACTCCATTGGGTGAGAGGACTGCCCGTCTGTGTTTAGGGGGGCCCTGGACCAGAAACTCAGTGTCTATTGGCTCTGAGCAAGCGCGCAGTTAATTCCGATAGGTCCGGGAGGGTGTACATCCCGGAGAAACGATTTTGAATCCCAGTCGTCCCCCTCCTTTTCTTTGTGTGATTGGCGCGCTTTCCCTCGGTAGTGGGACGGTTTGACTGTCGAATTTGTTTTTGTTTGTTTGGGGGTTTTCTGGCTTCGGGGTTAAAGGGAGGGAAAAGGCGTCGTTGGCGCCCCCAGGGTGTAAGCGGGTCCTTCAGCACATGGCACTCCAGAGCTTTTGGTAGTCTTAAAGCACAAGCTCTCTGCTATGCGGCTGCGGTGTGAGCAGCGAGTTCACGACACCTCCCCTTCTCTGCCCTTGCGTGTTGTTAAACCACAGCGTGATAAAGAAGGTATTTTAACTTCCACTGTAAAAGGCGGAACGACTCCGAAAGCAGTTGAGTTTAGCACGTTGAGTCAGAAACCTTTAAATAAAACTGTCCTGGAGGAGTTGATTCTGAGGTCATTTGTCGCTGGCAAAAAGTTGGGACCTTAGAGGAAAAGCAACACCGGCCTAAAGAAACACAATTCCCAGAAACCCCACAGCAAGGCCTCTCCTTTCCAATTTCCCTTTGCTAAGTTTCCTACAGAAATCTACTTAAAATGTTCTTTTAAAGTGTATAAGGGACTGAAGAGACGATGTCCTCTTGCAGAAGACCCTGGTTCGGTACCCACAATCATCCATAACTACAGTTCCAGAGAATTCAATAGCCTCTTCTGACTTTCACAGGCTCCAGGGCCAGATACATTCATGCATTCATGCAAAACACTCACATTTAAAAAAAAAAAAATCGATTTAATGTCTCAGTAAGACGAAGCATAATGGTACAAGCCTTTAATCACAGACCTCCTAAGGGGAAGGCAGAAAGACCTCTAGAAGACTGCCTGGTATACATAGTAAGTTCCAGGCCAGGCTCTGTCTCAAAACAAAAACAAAAATATAAATAAGACATGAACGGAAGCGGGGTGGTGGTGGCACACGCCTGGCTATTTTTTATTTTAAAGCTTTTAACGTTTCTGAGTTCTTGTTATATTCTGCCACACTCCTTTAAAATTCCCGATGATTTGGGAATGTGAATGAATTAGCAGCATGCATTTCACATTTTTTAGTTTCTCAACCTAAGACACCTTTGGGTCTCCAACAGACTTTCATTACTCTACACCCTTAGCCCCACCCAGGCACAAGAACAAACAATAGGCTTAATTTAATAACAAATGGCATAGTAATGAAATATCACCTCGCCTCTGAAGGGTATACAAAGAGTTAGTTAGATTTTGTTTGCTTTAATGTTAACAATGCTAAAGGAAGCCAGGACATGAAAACAACCAAAACACAGCTAGGGAAGAGTAAAGGGGCTGGTGGTACACACCTTTAATCCCAGCACTCAGGAGGCAGAGGCAGGTGGATCTTGGTGAGTTCAAGGCCAGCCTGATCTACAAAGTAAGTTCCAGGACATCTGGGACTATTTCACAGAGAAACCCTGTCTCAAAAACAAAACAAACAACAAAACACAAACCAAAAATGTCGGGGAAGAGCTGGGCACAGGTTGGAGATGGATGAAAAAGAAAAACAAAACAAAAACATATATAGGACCAGTCTGGGAATATATCCTGAATTCCGATCCTACCTGATAGCTGACCATGGGGAGAGGAATATCCCAAGAGGACATGCATGATAACAAAAAGGGGACAAAAACATGACTGAGGGGGAGAGAGAGAGAGAGGAAGGAGTTATCTACTAAAGAAACAGGAATGGGAAACAGGAATGGGAAGAGAGGGGAGAATATATGGGAGTTGAAGAAGAAATAGAAGAGAAGGCAGAGGCAAGCAGATCTCTGTGACTTTGAGGTCGGCCTGGTCTACATATCAAGTTCCAGGCTGGTCAGGGCTACATAGACCCTGTCTCAGAGAGAAAGAAGAGGCGAAGGAGAAGACCTTTAACCTGCCAGCGAGAAGGGAGCACTGGGTATTATTAAGCTCTTGGACCTGCAAGATGACTCAGTGGGTAAAGACGCTGGCTGCCAAGCCTTACAACTGAGTCTCTAACCCTGAAAACCCCAGGGCGGAAGGAAAGAACTGAGTCCCAAGAGTTGCTCTCTGACTTCCATATCCATGCTATGGTACATGTATAGCCACACAAACACAGACACAAAGAGACAGAGAGGCACACACAAAAGTAAAAGAATAAATACATGTTAAAAAAAAAAAAAAGTTGAAGTCAACATGTCTTTAACATTCAAATCTGCCGGGCAGTGGTGGTACACACCGTTAGTCCCAGCACAAGGGAGGCAGAGGCAGGGAGATCTCTGTGAGTTCAAGGCCAGTCTGGTCTACAAAGCTACACAGAGAAACCCTGTCTTGAAAAGGAAAAGAACCTAAGCTCAGCTTCAACCACTGACTGTCTTATTTGCCTTCTGGTCAGTATGTAAACTCTCAGCTACTTCAGATCCCTGCCTGCCTGCCTGCCTGGCTGCCGATGCCTACACTCTTTGCCATGATGTTCATAGACTCACCCTCTGAAGCTATAAGCAAACCCCCAATTAAATGCTTTCTCCTATAAGTTGCCTTGTTCATAATATTTTTCCACAGCAACAGAACAATAGCTAAGCATCCCTGTCTAGATTCACTGTCTATCCTCCAGCCTCCATCCTGCTCTGTTACCCTAAACCAACATGTACTGCATTGAATCATACAGCTCACTGGCATTGGTCCTGGAGGAAGTCAAAATTTAGGAGAGTGGGGTCAAGATGTTTCTGTCCCTCCCTCCCTTCCTCCTTTCCAGGTCCTCAGAAGAAGGTTGGGCTCCTCTACTGGAGGCCACAGATCCTATGCTACTCTCCATCAGGAATGAAGAACTTATTCCCCAGTTACGAAGGGTACAGCTGGAAGATGAGCCTAGCAGGCAACACCCCTGGAAGGGGATTGACTTTGCTAAAGAAAATTGCCTTTCTCAGCATTACACCTCTTTCTGGAGGAAGTCCGAATCAGCACCAATCTGGAAGACCTCGAGTGCCAATTTGCCAGCTTACAGAAAGTGAAGGTTGTCTCAACTTCGAAGCACTTTGTGGGGCCCTTGTTCGGTCTGCATTGCCATTCTCTCCTGCTTAGATTCATTATTCTTCTCTTGCCTTCCACATATTTGTCTACACAGTGGAAAGAAGACATTGACTTTGACTACCTCAGCTGGGCAGTGGTGATGCACGCCTTTAATCCCAGCACTAGGGAGGCAGAGGCATGTGGAGCTCTGTGAGTTCGAGGCCAGCCTGGTCTACAGAGAGAGTTCCAGAACACCCAGGACTGCTATATAGAGAAACCTTGTCTTATAACAATAAAAAAAAAAAAAAGAATTGACTACTTCAGATTTTCCTCTGACCACCATGTGTATAAACATACAAATAAACATAATAATTTAAAGTTTTAAAAAAAAATTGTCAAGACTGTAGATCAGGCTGGCCTTAGATTCAAAGAGATCTGCCTGCTTCTACCTCCTGAGTACTGGAATTAAAGGCATGTGCCACCACCACCCAATAATTTATATTTTTTTAAAATAACTGTTGGTTGTTCTTCCTCTTAACTTTCCCTTTTCTAAACTAAGAGCAGAGTTAGTAACATGCTCCTGTTTCACAGTACTTGGGAGGCTGAGTCAGAATGATTGCTGAGAGTTCAAGGCCTGCCTGAACTACTGAACAAAACACACACATCAAAACAAAAAGAAAAGAAAAAAGAAACACAAACTAGCTAATCTGTGATCACTTGCAAAATAAAGCACAGCTAATGCTTCTAAAGCATTTTTCCTCAGAGTTCAAAGTGATTTGGAACCCCCAGAAATAGTTCTCACTGGCAATTCTGTAAAATCCTTTCCCAGTGGTGGGATTGCAAACTTGTACAACTGCTTCAGAAATCAGTATGGTGGTTTCTTAGAAAATTGAGAATCAATCTATCTCAAAACCCAGCATTAGCACTTTTAGCACTATTGGGCATGTACCCAAAGGATGCTCACTCACACCACAAAGACATTTTCTCAGCTATGTTCATAGCAGCATTATTCATATTCAACCGAAGAATGGATAAGGAAAGTGTGGTATATTTACACGATGGAGTACTATTCATCAGTTTAAAAAAAAAAAGGCATCCTGAATTTTCAGGTAAATGGACAGAACTAGAAAAAAGTCATCCTGAGTGAGGTAACCCAGACCCAGAAAGGCAAATATAACATGTACTCACTCATAAGTGGAAACTAGACATAAGACAAAGGCCAACCAACCTACAGGCCACAACCACAGAGAACCCAGAGGACCCTAAGAGAGACACACATGGCTCCACCCAAGAAGGGGAAATAGACAAGATCTCCTGAGTAAACTGGGAACGTGGGAGGGCAGGGGAAGGATGGGAGATGGGAGGAAAGGGGAGTGGGAGAAAAAGTATAGCTCAATAAAGAAAAAAGAAACTGGAAAAAAAAATCCTTCCCCAGAAAACAAGGACTGGTACTGGTCCCCTTGGCACAGAAGTGATCCATTCTAGGAAGCTTTTTTTCCCTTTACATTTTCCCCCTGAGACAGGGTTTCCCCTTGTAGCTTTGAAGCCTGTCCTGGAACTAGCTCTTGTAGACCAGGCTAGTCTCAAACTCACAGAGATCTGGTTGCTTGCATATGTCTTCCAAGTGCTGAAATTAAAGGTGTATGCCACCAAGGCCCTGGCTTGGGTGGTAGCATCTTATGTTCTGGGATCCCTGACAGAATTAAAGGGAGAAAGTCAATTTCACAGCAGCATTCCTATCTACCTAAGATTATCTTAGCATTTAAATATT